CTTCCATTTGCTTTAGCTATTCTCCACTCAAGGGCAAGGTTCAGAGTCTCTTCTGTCATCCACTTTGGTCTTCTCTTCTTTTCTTGTCTTTTTCTTTAATGTAGAACCCACTAAACATCTCATAACATGGATGAGCTTAGAGGACATTATTCTGAGGGAAATATGTCAATCACACAAGGACAAATATTGTATTTGTTGTTGTTATTAGGTGCCGTGGAGTTGGACCTGACTCATAGCGACCCATCCTTGGGTTTCTGAGGCAGTATCACTATGGAAGTATATTGCCCAACCTTCCTTCCAAGGAGTGGCTGGTGGGTTTGAACTACCAGCCTTCTGGTTAGCAGTCAAGTGCCTTAGGCACTATGCTACCAGAGCTCCTAAATATAGTATTAGTTCACTATTATAAAAAGTCAAGGAAAGATTTATATATGAAAGGAAACTTTCTTTGTTGGTTACCAAGGATAGGAGGAGAAGGGAGAGAACATTCCTAGATAGGTAAGAGACAAATATTGATTTGGGTGAAGGGAAAGCCAATATACCAAAAGCAAATGACCAATACACAATAACACTAAGGAAAAGGAAGACCCAGAGAGGTTCACAAGACAACAAAGATACACTCTTTTATATATACAATACTGCGTTATCAGTGGTAATAAACATTAATCTACTGGTAGACAGATGGATGGCCAGGTTGAATGATAGGTATATTTAGGCAAAAGGGAATATATCCATGACTGTATATAAGCTTGGCAGATGATATTTCTACATGTGTATTTGTATGTGCTCTAAGAATGTCCATATAAATAGAACTAATGGGGGGCAAAGTTAACTTCTTAGCCATAGCCAACCACTCAGATGTAGCAAGTTTTTGGACCTGTGGGCTCAGAACTATGGTCATGGAGTACATCAAGCTCAATTGGCATAACATACTACACAAAAACATTGTTCCTCATCTTACTTTGTCAAGTAGCGACTAGGGTCTTAAAAGCTTGCAAGCAGCCATTTAGATGCAACAATTGGTTTCTCTTCATCTGGAACAAAGAAGAATGAAAAAAAAACAAAAAGCATGCATGGAAACAATTAGTCCAAGAAACTAGTGGACCATGCAAACTCATGGCCATGAGATTAGAAAAACTAGATAGTGCCCAGCTACTATTGTCAACCACACAGAAATAGATCAGTGCAGGAGATCCTAGATAGAGTAGGAGAAAAATGTGAAACAAAACTCAAAATAATATGAAAGAGACCAGGCCTACTGGTCTGATAGACCCTGGCGAAACTCCTGAGACTGTGGCCCCTAGTTACCCTTCAGATCTGGAATTGAACTCACTCCCATGGCTTTCAGCCAAATAATAGACAGGCATATGGTATATACATTTATACCAGGTAGATACACTCCTTAGAACAATCAGTCATGGGAGATCAGAAGGGCAGTATATGCACAGGGAGATAGCTCAGGGGGCAGGAATGCATAGGAAAGAAGGACACAGAGAATAGATAACTACAGGGAGGTAGTGAGAAGAGAGCTGTTACACTGTGGGGATTGCAGTCAATGTCATGAAACAAATGTGTATGAACTGCTATACAGAAAATGAATTTGCTCTGTAAACTTTCACCAAAATCACAAAAAATAAAATTTAAAAAAGATCATATCTTATTCTTGTCTTAGCAGTGTCTTGCATGGTGAATGCATATAATGGCAACAATTTGACTGATCATCATTCCTAATGTAGTTGAGCACTTAGAGTGCACAGTCCATTCCAAAGCAGCAATACCTTACAGAATCCACAGTGACTTTCGATGTGTACAAACTGAAGTCTACATTAGGTTTTATTTTTATATTCATTTTACTATGGCTAGGAGTATAATTTCGGTTGTTGTCATTGAGTGCCCCCCATGAATTGGATTAGATTAGAATTAGACTGAGTACTTTACTGTGTGTATCATAACAAATTATGGAAAACTTTGCAAAGAATGGGAATTCTACAACTCTTAGTTGTTCTCATGAGTTGTTCTCATGTTCTCATGTACATAAACCAAAAGACAGTCGTTCAAACAGAACAATGGGATACTGCATGGTTTAAAATCAAGAAAGGCGTGCATCAGGGTTGTGTACTTTCACCATACTTATTTAATCTATATGCTGAGCAAATAATTCGAGACTTGACTATATGAAGAAGAATGCAGCATCAGGATTGGAAGAAGACTCATTATCAACATGTGATATGCAGGTGATACAACCTTGCTTGCTGAAAGTGAAGAAGACTTGAAGCACTTACCAATGAACATCAAAGACTGCAGCATTCAATATGGATTATACCTCAACATAAAGAAAATAAAAATCCTCACAAGTGGACCAATAAACAACATCAAGATCAATGGAGAAAAGATTGAAGTTGTGAAGGATTTAATTTTACTTGGATCCACAATTAACGCCTGTGAAGCAGCAGTCAGGAGATCAAATGATGTATTGCCCTGGAGAAATCTGCGCAAAAGTGTTAAAGAGCAAAGAGGTCACTTTGAAGATTAAGGTGTGCCTGACCCAAGCTGTAAGTCAATAGCCTCATATGCATGTGAAAGCTGGACGATGAACAAGGAAGAACAAAGAAGAATTGATACATTTGAATTATGGTGTTGGTGAAGAATATTGAATATACCATGGACTACCAGAAGAACAAACCAATCTGTCTTGGACGAAGTACAGCTGGAATGTCCCTTAGAAGTGACAATGATGAGACTTTATCTCTCGTACTATGGTCATGTTATTAGGAGGGACTGTCCCTGGAGAAGGATATCATGTTTGTTAAACCAGAGGGTCAGAGAAAAAGGGGAAGACTCTCAATGAGATGGATTGACACTATGGATGCAACAATGACTTCAAGCATAGCAGTGATTGTGAGGATGGTGCAGGACCGGGCAGTGTTTCCTTCTGTTGTATGTAAGGTCACTATGAGTTGAAACTGACGTGACAGTGCCTAACAACAACAACTACTCATGGAAATAAATAGTCTTTGCCTACAAGTCTTCTGAGTCAATAGTTCATAATCCTGCAGAAGTTAAAAGTTAAGATATATTGGGTTTAATCATATTTTTTAATATATGAAAGACTCTTAGAGAAAGGCTGGGTGCTCTGGTATGACAGAATAGGGAATGAATTTGGTTTGGAGGGAAACTGTGGAGACATTGCTAGGATGATTACAAAAGATTCTGCAAAAATCATTGTTTTTCTTATTATTACATAAAAATCTATGTTCATTTTAGAAAATGTAGAATATGCAGGCAGGAGAATTATTGACATTATTCACCAAATCCATGCATCTTTAAAATACATATCATCAATGCACATTGACTGATTAATGAAATTTATTTTATTTTAAATGGAAGCATGCTGTTTTGCAGCTTAGTTACTGTAGGCTTCTTTTTTTAAAATTTGCGTATTTTAAAATAGGGAGTACATTCACACTGTTCAAAATTCAAAATCTTAGAAATGTTATATAGTGAAAATCTCCCCTTCATCCTTATTCCCCAGATACCAGTTCCTCATCTCTGGAAGCAACCAATGGTATCAGTTTCTTTTACTTACTTTCAGACATATATGCTTGTGTACGTAAATACATATATTTCCTTACATGTATATTCTTCTCCCACATTTTTAACATATAGTGCCAAAATACTGAATTTGCCCACCATCTGTCTGTCAGTTTGTTTTACTGTGGTGGCTTGCCTGTTGCCATGATGCTGGAAGCTATGTCACTTGTATTTCAAATATCAGCAGGGTCACCCCTGGTGGAAAGATTTTAGCAGAGCTTCCAGACTAAAACAGACTAAGAAGAAAGGCCTGGTGATTTTCCAAAAATTAGCCAATGTAAACCTTATGGATCACAACAGAACATTGTCTGATAACTCAAACAGCAACAATCATGAAGGTGAAGCAGGACTGGGCAATGGTTTGTTCTGTTATATACAAAGTCGCCATGAGTCAGAGCTGACTTGACAGCAACTAACAAACAACATTGCATGTGTTCAGGTCTTCTGAGATGTAGATGTCAAGGCATGCAAGGGATCTATCAGGGGAAATATCTGCTGGAGAAGAAGTGTGGGAGCCAGAGGAGGAGAGGAGAGTCATCACATTATGATGGGAGTCTGAGCCCTGTGAAGGAGAGAGGCAAAGAAGCAGGCTGGATGTGCAGAGTCTCAGACTGCAGCACAGGTCTAAGAAAGTTGGGCTAAAGATGCTCATCAGAAGAGTCTGGTGCCTCACACGATTGAGCCTGATTAGAATCAATAACTACTTGGCTCATTTATTGGCTGAGAGCAACCCATGGACAGTGTGGCCTTTGGGTGAACACAGTGCAATGGGACACCCTAGATTATACTCCCAAAGCAGGGAGTCTGAGGAAGTGTTTTCATGGCACCTGCAACCACAGACCTGTACCTCTTTCATGTAAGAGTGTATTTTTGTAATTGTTCCCTGTCAGTACATAAAACTTCCTCATTCTGTTTTTGTGCTAGTATAGTGTATCATTGTATTAAAAACAAAACAAAACAAAACAAAAAAAACCTCGCTGCCATCAAATCGGATCCAACTCATAGGGACTCCTCCTTGGATTTCCAAGGCAATATCTGTACGTAAGTAGATTGCCCAATCTTCCTTTCGAGGAGTGGCTGGTGGGCTTGAACCACCAGCCTTCTGGTTAACAGTCAAATGCCTTAGGCACTACACAACCAGAGCTCCCTTATATGTACCATAATTTATATGTAGTGTACCTTGGTGATAGACATTCGATCTATTTCCAATTTTTTACTATTATAAACAAAGCTGCAGTAAATAATTTAGTAATTATGTCATTTCAACCATATCTCTAGGATAAGTCCCTAGAAATTGACTCCACCTTTAATTTTGATTGCTATTTCCCTCAGAGAACTTGTACCATTTCTCACTCCCACCAGGGTATGAGATGGCAATGCTGAGTGCAATAGAATGTATTTGAATTTATTTGTTTGTTAACTCATTCATCCAGCTAGCAAACATTCATGTGTGCCAGGAAATGTACTAGGCCTGACGAAGGACTTAGGAGGATGAAAGGAAATGAGGAAAGAGACAGTAGTGACATTAGTGACAAGCTCGATTTCAGCCTTACTTGCTCCTCTGGCAAGCACCCTTGTGGACAGCACCACTTGTGTAGCTGTGCACAGTCCCGAGGGTGAAGCTCTGACCAGGGCTCAAGGACAGAGCTCAGCTAAGGAGAAAAGAGCAACATTGCCTAGTGTGGAGAGTTGACATGTGTACCCTCTGAACTTCCTGGGAATACAATTATTTTCTTGTGCTGTTGTTAGGTTCTGTTGAGTCTGTTCTGACTTGTAGTGACTCTATGTACAACAGAACGACACACCTATTGGTGTTGTTGCAGCCACTGTGTCAGTCCATCTGGATGAGTCTTCCTCTTTGTCACTGATGCTTAATTTTGGCAAGCTTAATATCCTTCTCCAGGGACTGGTCCTTCCTGATAAAATGCCCAAAGTATTTGAGATGAAATCTCGCCATCCTCAGTCCTAAGAAGCATTCTGGCTGTACTTCCTCCAAGACAGATTTGTTTGTTCTTCTGGCAGTCCATGGTATATTCAATATTCTTTGCCAAGACCATAATTCAAAGGCATCAATTCTTCTTTGATCTTTCTTCTTTATTCATTGTCCAACTTTTGCATGCATATGAGGTGACTGAAAATACCATGTCTAGGATCTGGCACACCTTAGTTCTCAAAATGACATCTTAGCTTTTCAACACTTTCAAGAGGTCTTTTGCAGCAGATTTACCATATGCAATACATTGTTAGATTTGTTGATGGCTGCTTTCATGGGTATTGACTGTGGATCCAGGTAAAATGGAATTTTGTACTCCCTCTTAAAAAACAAACAAAATACACTTTTATTGTTATTATTTTTTATTTTTTTCATAGTGACCATGTTTATTTTATTTTAGGAGATTTAGAAATTACAGAAAAAAGAAAAGAAAGAATAAAGAAGCAAGAGTCATAACCTGTACATTATTGGGTATAACCCTTCCACATCTCCAAAAATGCATAGAAATACTTGCCATATGTTTCTGTATATTATGGGTATGTTTTATTACCTATGAAAATATGCACTGTGACCATATGAACATCATTCCAGCATATATTTTTCTTCATACTACTTTCATCTCTCTCCAGCTGCTCTGCACCCCTGTCCTATGGAGGGTCTACGTTGTCATTATGCTCAGCTCCAATTTCTTCGCGTCCCTTGTTGTGGAGGTAAGTTCCCTCAGAATGCTGATCACTCAGGAGTAGGGGTTGGGTAGTCAGGGGTAACCACCTTTAGCTGATAAGGATCTAACAGTGCAAAAGGCTCCCTTCCTTCACAACATAAGCAATGGTGCTTTTCTCTGATGAGTTCTGAACAAGGCTTCAGTTTTCCTATCTGTAAAGTGGAGCTGGGTGAATGAACTAAATGATCTCTCCTATTCATTTGTAATAGGCTCTCTGGTGGCACAGTGGTTAAAGCATTGGGTTACTAACCAAAATGTTGGAAGTTTGAACCCATCAGCTGCTCCATGGGAGAAAGATGAGTCAGTCTGTTTCTGTAAAGATTTATAGCCTTGAAAACCCTACTGGACAGTTCTATTCTGTCCTATAGTGCCACTATGAGTCAATATCGGCTTGGTGGCAGTGGGCTGGGGTATTCATTTGTAAAATTCTAAAATTGAGAACCAACTCAACTCATGTTATTTTTAAAAAGTTATGACTCATGTGCCATAAAATCCATCTTTTCAAAGTGTACAGTTCAGTGGTTTTTAGTATATTCACTGAGTTGTGCAACCACTGCCACTATCTAATTCTAGGACATATTCATCACCCTAAAAAGAAATCCCATCCTTATTCTCTTCTCCCTCATCTCCTGGCAACCACTAATCTACTTTATGTCACAATGATTTGCCTATTCTGGGCACTTCATATAAATGGAATCATACAATATGTAGTCTTTTGTATCTGGGTTTTTTCACTTAGCAACTTTAGCCTTTTTACTTTACAGATGGGAAATGAGATTCATAGTGAGCTTTTCCCATGTTTAGTCTTCAGCTCCCATTTGCACTATTTCCTCAGTGAAATGAGCTTGCTCTCTCCCTTTCTTTCTCAGTGCAACTCACTCTCTCCTCTCTGTACTATTAGATGTAATCTACATTCTTTAAACCTGTAGTTGGGCAGAGGGCATCCCTACAAGGCTTTTAAAAAAAAAAAAAAAAAAATTATTGTGATTTGGGTGAAAGTTTACAGAGCAAATTCACTTTTCATATAGCAGCTCACATACACTTTGTCTCATGACATTGACTGCAATTTCCCATAATGCAACAGCTCCCCTTCTATTTCTTCCCCATTGTTACCTCTTCCCCATGTCCTTCCCTCCCATGCACTCCTGCCCCCTGAGCTGTCTCCCTGTGCATATACAGCCCTTCTTTCTCCCATGATTGAGCTCTCTAAGGAGTGTATCTAACTAATGTAAATGTTCAGCTCATATGCCTGTCTTTTGTTCGGCTGGAAGCCACAGGAGTGGGTGCAATTCCAGACCTGAAGGGCAGTTAGTGGCCATAGTCTCAGTGGTTCTATCAGGCTCCATCAGATCAGTAAACATGGTCCCCACCTCCTTTTTTTTTTTTTTTTTTCTTAATGATTTTGAGTTCTGTTCCATATTGTTCTCCCACTCTATCCAGAATCTCCTACATAGATCTCCCTCCAAGTGGTGGACAGTGGTAGCCAGGCACCATCTAGTTCTTCTGGTCATAGTTGTATAGGCTGAGGTTTTCATGGTGTACCAGTCCCTTGGATTAATTGTTTCCATGCATCTTTGGTTTTCGTCATTCTTCTTTGCTCTGGATAAGGAGAGACCCATTGTTGCATCTAGATGTCTGCTCGCAAGCTTTTAAGATCCCAGTTGCTACTCATCAAAGTAGGATGTGGAACGACATTTTTGTTTAGTATGGTATGCCAATTGAGCTTGATGTCCCCTGAGACTATGGTCCCAAGACCACAGGTCCAACTACTCACTCCTTCTGGGTGGCTGGCTGTGATCAAGAAGTGACTACAACCTCATCCCTTGTCAGCTATACCTGGCAATTCTTACAGAACATACAAATACACTTGTAGAAACATTGTCTGCCAACCCTATACATGGTCTTAGGCACACTGCCCCCTGCATAGACATACCTAATAGTTCAGCCTGTCCATCCATCTATCTACCTGTATATCCATGTTTGCTTTCACTGACAATGCAGTACTGCATGTGCAAAAGGGTTCATCTTTGTTGTCTGTACCTTCCATGCACCTCTCTCTATGTCTTCCTCTTCCTCAACACCACCATGTTGATCACTCATGTTTGGTGCATTGCCCTTCTCTTCACTCACATCAATACTTGTCTCTACCTAACAGTGTTCCTTCCTCTCCCCTCCCCTCCACCCCTGGTAACTAACAAAGAAAATTTACTTCCATATATAAACCTCTCCTGTACTTTTTACAATAACAGACTAATACAATATTTGTCCTTCTGTGATTGACTTATTTCACTCTGCATAATCTCCTCCAAGTACATCCACATTATGCAGTGTTTTGCAGATTCTACATTATTCTTTAGGTTTGCATAGCATTTAATTGTATGTGTGTACTACAGTTTACTTATCCATTCTTCTGTTGATGGGCACCTAAGTTGTTTCCATCTTTTTTCTATTGTAAATAGTGCTGTGATGAACATGGGTGTACATAAATCTGTTCTTGTCCTGGATTTCTCACTTCTTTAGGATATATATCTAGAAATGGAATGGCAGGGTTAAATGGTATTTCTAATTCCAACTTTTTAGGGAATCACCATACTGCTTTCCACAGCGGTTGTATCATTTGACAGTTGTACCAGCAATGTATGAGAGCCCCAATCACTCTGCATCCTCATCAGCATTTGTTATTTTCTGTCTTGTTGAACTTTGTTACTAATGCTGGGGCCAGATGGTATCTCATTGTTGTTTTGATTTGCATCTCTCTAATGGCTAATGATCATGAGCATTTCTTCATATGTTTATTGGCCACCTGAATATCCTCTTTGGTGAAGTGTCTATTTATGTTTTCTGGCCATTTTTATATTGGATTATTTGTCTTTTTATTGTTGAGGTGTTGGAGTTTTTAATAAATTCTAGAGATAAGTCCTCTGTCAGATATGTCATTGTACAAAGGCATTTTTGAAGGGTGGAACTGAGATACAGGATTCCATCTGTCTCTATTGCCTCTCACAGTAACAAAGTCAAGATGGTCCCAGCAAAGGCAGTACTCATGGTAGACTATGCTCACCTAGAGCCTTATTCCCTACAGTATTATGTAGGTAGTAGCTCAGTGAAGCTTCTTTCCTGAATAGATTAAAGACTGCATAGGAACTAGTGGTGTAGAATAGGACATCGAGTTAGCATATTGGAGATGGTTTCAGAACTGGTTTAGTGGTTCAACAGTGTCACAAAGGGTCCTGGTTCTTTCACCTTTCTGTCTCTCTGTTCTTTGATGTTGCCCTTTCATCTTTGTGCTTGTTGCTTATGATCACAAGGCAGCTTCCTCATAGCTAGGCACTGTATCTCTTTTTAGTGCAAGAAGAAAAGGGAAGGTCCCTTGAGTCTGAACCTTTTATCAGGAAACAAATGAATAACCTACAGCCCACCAACAGACTTCCTCTTATGCCTCATTGGGTAGAACTGGGTCTCAGGGCCACCCTGAGTAGAAAGGGACTCTGGAAAAGTGAATCTATGCCAAGAGGTTACACAGATTGGCTTAGTCTATTTATGATTTTTTTTTTTTCCTTAAAGCTAGGCAGGGAAGACATGGAGGGAATCAAGCAACAGCATCTTTCATAATCTCCTAGCAGGAAGCCATTCTTGTGTCAGTATATTTGTAGGTAAGAGACAACCTCTGGAGGAATCTACCTGGGTTTGAGCCCTGGCTTTACCAGTTTCTTGCTCTGGTAGCATAGTGGCTAAAGCACTTGACTGCTAACCAGAAGCCTGGCGGTTCAAACCCACCAGCCACTCCTCGGAAGGAAGGTTGGGCAATCCTACTTCTGTAGTGATACTGCCTCGGAAACCCAAGGAGGGGTCGCTATGAGTCAGGGTCGACTTGACGGCACATAACAACAACAACAACAATTTTGCTCTACTTCTCTGTGTCTATTTCCTCATCTATAAAATGGTAATAATAATGATATCTTATGTCAGAGCATGATTGTTAGCACAAAATGTGAACAGTGAGAAACAAACAGTAAGTGTTTAATAAATATTAGTTATTATTATCCCAGGAGCCCTGGTGATGCAGTTGGTCAAGCACTCAGCTGCTAACTGAAAGGTTGGCAGTTCAAAACCACCAGCTGCTCCATGGGAGAAAGACCTGGCAGTCTGCTTCTGCAAAGATTTACAGAAGCCTATAGGACTGTCTATGGGACAGTTATATTCTGTCCTAGGGTGTTACTATGAGTCAGAATTGACTCAATGGCAGTGAGTTTGGTTTGGTTTTACTGTTATATTATCTCTTATGCCACTTACCACTTATTCCCTTCATTCCTCCCTCCCTTCCTCCTTTCTTTCTTATTTATTTATTTATTTCCCATGGCATTTGTTGATGATGCACCATGCATTATGCTAGGGGGATAAGAATGACAGAGGCATGAAACTCACAGTTTACAGGGAGAAAGAGGACAAATCATATAGTTATATGTGTATATATTTCTTCTCTCTCCTGACATTAACTATGCTAGCAAGAACTGATCTCAGTAGTTCTAGTACCTAAACCCCTGTTCATTCCAGGAGGAACTGGGTAAAGGTTTATTCGATTATTAAATGTAAGAAGGTCCTGCTTAGCTCCAGCAGATGGAGGGGGTATAATTAGATGTTCATGAAAGATGAAGCTGCTCCTTTTTTTCTCATGTTGAGGGAGAAATGGAGCAGCACTCGTGGCTGCTTTGTGTGGGTTCCCAGGAACTTCCAAACTGAGAACCAACATTGAATACCAGTTCCCATCCTTGTGCCCTACCCCTATAAACAGCTGGGACAGTCTCCAGAAGCTGGCAGATACCCTTTCACCTGCTCTCAGCAGACTCTGAGGGATAAATCAAAACCCTGAATCTTTAGTGAAGATAGTTATAATGGGCACATATGTTTATTGCCTCAAGAGGTGAGCCTAGCACAGTAGCTAAAGACCCTAGATTAGGTTGGTCATAGCAAGATGTTCTTCCTCATGTGACTCCGGGTTTTCAGCAGATCCCAAGGATGCCTAGGATTGGCCGTGCTAACCCTCTACTGCTGGCCACCCTCTAACAGGTCCAGTGAGTGTTCTTGGACAGGCATGGAGGATGGCTGGCCTCCTGTTGCACTGCCCTACTTATTGTCTGGCCTGCTAAAGTTTAACTTTAATCCTAACTATACCCTTAATCTTAGAGCAGACTATGGAATAAATAGGATTGAATGAGACCTTATTCATACTTTGCCAATTATCATGGTCTAGCCTCCAGCTTAAAGGTATGAGGTATAGGAGCTTATATGGATTCCTTCAGTACCCCCACCACCCACTTTGTTTTTCATTTCTGTGTTTGTTTATTTATGTATATATGTATGAATTGTTTGAACAGTCAGTGAGAAGCGGTAGTGTAGTCAAATTTTGTTTTGTTTTTAAAATGTAGTCTCACAAAGACTTTACTTATATTTCTAGTTCTACATTTAATTTGCAATGTAGAATGACAGGATCCATCATCTCTCAGTGCTTTAGTTTCCCCTTCCAGACCAGAAAGGTGATGTGGACCATCATGGTTCTTGAACTGCAACAGTGTCCAAAGCAAGGTATAAAGCACTAAATTTTTTCTGTGTAATGTCTAATGCATTTAATTGCTAACCAGAAGACTGGTGGTTCAAACTCACCAGCCACTCCTCGAAAGGAAGGTTGAGCAATCTACTTCCGTAGTGATACCACCTTGGAAACCTAAGGAGGGGTCACTATGAGTCGTATCTGACCTGATAGCAGTGAGTTTGGTTTGGGTTTTTGGTGGGCCACAGGCTAACCAAAAGGTGGGCAGTTCAAACCCACTAGCTGCTCCCTGGAAGAAAGATGAAGCAATCTGTTCCCATAAAGGTTTATAGCCTTGGAAACCCTGCCAGGCAGTTCTTTCCTACCCTATAGGGTCACTATGAGTTGGAATTGACTTCTTGGCAGTGGGTTTTGGATTAACCCCTGTAAGCATGGTATGCATCAGTTTCCATTGACAAGGAATGCATGGCCTTAATTACTTTAGTAGTTAATCTCTGGTGAGCAATTTCACATGGGTTTTACCACATCTTTGATGTGGTGAGGGACAGGGGAAATTGTGCGTTGCTGATTGGTGAGAAGGCACAAGTGAACCTGTGCATCCCTTGCTTACCGCGTAATCTGGCCCGGGTGTGTGCGCATATATGTGCATTCATGTGTGTGCATGTGTGGGAGTGCCTGTCATGTGTGTATATGTATGAGTTTTGTCTTGTTTTATTTTCAGGTTTGCTGAGGTTTCCTGGTGGTTAGTTAGATTAGAAAACCATCTATTGGATACTAGAACTCTCCTTCCAAGCTTTATCTCAATTCTGTGGAGAACTCTTGTTCTTTTGTTAATTAAGGAGGACAAAATGCCTTGCTGTGGGAAAGTAGAATAACAGGTCTGGCTAGGTAAACCCCAGGGTTTGCAAGATGCCGATGAGATGGTTGTGTGGGATTTTCTTAGCCTGCTGGCTTCTGTCCAGTTATCAGAGGAAAGATTGACTAGCTATTCATCATTTTCATGAGCAGTGGGACTCAAACCTCAAATGAGTAGATTTTAGAAAAACTACTATCTCTGACAAAATTCCTTATAGGTTCCTATAGAATTAACTTAGAATTTAGAAAAATACCACTCACAGGCACCACAACAAACTGTAATACTGTAGGATTGCTTGGTTCCTCATATTTTTTTCCTTGTTTCTTTCATAATAACTTGTAAGACACTCAATCAAATATCATAAAAATGAAAAATTAAACAGGTAACCCCCATGCACTCTATACTGTAAGTTATATCTTAGGTCCTATTTGAGGCTTAGCCTAACTCATGAAATAAAATGGCAGTCAAACGTGTTCTCAAGAATGCAGATGTTTTTCAATCTTAAAAATGCTTTTCAGGGAAATATTTGTAGGGGATGTTTAGAATCATATGTGCTTGCCTTGAATCAGGTGACAGTGCTCAGACATCTTAAATGAGTAGTTTCAGAAGGGTGGGAAAAGGGAGGAGATTATGACATACCATGCCCTCCATTGCAAGAAGAATAATACAATCCATACTGCAAACATAAGAGGAAGGAATTATTACTTCTAATCATTGAGGCTTAGAAAGGGTAATTAATTTGCCCATACTCAGAGTCAGTCCCTGGAGGACATCATGATTGGTAAAAAGAGGAAGACCCTCAATGAGATGCACTGACACAGTGGCTGCAATGATGGACTCCAGCATAGCAAAGATTGTGAGGATGGCCTAGGATAAGGCAATGTTTTGTTCTGTTGTACATAGGGTTGCTATGAGTCAGGGCCAACTCAATGGCACCTAACAACAACAACAACAACGGGAGTCAGAGTTGAGACCTGAATCCAGATTTGTCCAACTCCAAGACTGTGGCCTACATTCCAATTTCATTGACCTGTGTTTACGACTAGGCAGTGGTGTGCCAGGGAATACCAGAGCCACAATACACACACAGCACTTCTTACTGTGGGGTCAGTTCTATTTGGTAGTAAGTAATTTAAATTGTAATTTTATACCAAATCAAATGTGGTTTGAAGTAGAACATGAAGTTTGAATAATTTTAAATTTAACTTAAATATGAGACTGAAATTTTATCTTTGAGGAAGGCCCCTTCAAGCTCTGTCCCCAGATTCTTGAATTTGTAGGCATCTCTTTTCTTCTGGTAGCATAGTGGCTAAGACACTTGCCTGCTAACCAGAGGGCTGGCGGTTCAAACCCACCAGCCACTCCTCGGAAGGAAGGTTGGGCAATCCTACTTCCGTAGTGATACTGCCTCGGAAACCCAAGGAGGGGTCGCTATGAGTCGGGTTTGACTCGACGGCACATAACAACAACAACAACAACTTTTCTTCTAGAAGGGTTACGTAAGTGGAAAAGTCTGAGAATCTGAGCTCTAACCCATTAAACCACTTTAGATTTGTCCAGGGCTTAAGTTCTTTGTCAAACTGGATCTAGGCAGCTGATGCAGTAGTGTCTCATCATGGTCTGAGTGCCATAGCCTGGGGACACTTGACCTCTAATTGTAAAGAGAAACTCTTTTATTTTGCAGGAGGCCATTATTGAAAACCGAGCCCTGTGGATGGTAATCAAAAGATGTTTTGGCTATCAATCAAAAAGCCAGTATCGGATATGGCAGAGGGTCTTGGCAAAGGACCCCAGCTGGCCCCCATTAAACCAGACCTCCTATTGTGACATGCCTGGGTGTGACAGGGGAGTGTCTTACAGCAATCCTGTGTTTGAGAGCAATGAAGAACAGCTTTGAAGGAAATGTGGTATCTGAAGTTGATATAACAGAGAAACAATGACAAAAGGGACTCTCATAATATCAGCTGGCATACTGAGTATATCTATCAAATCATTGTGACAAATTAAAGTGTGTTTGATAAAATACGCTTTCTGTAGAACAGAACACTGGCCCCAAACGGTGCTTTTCTCTTGGCTTCTGAATGTATTTGGGATGTTCAGTGAATCAAGAATGGGCTAAGGATGGCCCTGGGGTAAGACATTTGGAGGATGATAAAGAAGAATAATATACATTTCTTCTTCTTAGGATAATTTTTTTTTTCTTTATGGGTTATGGGAAGTAGTATTATGTATACTCATAAAGTAATATATTAAAGATCATTTTTGAATCTTTACTTCATCAATGGAAAAACTAATGCATGGGGGCCATCACACGAGTCTTCACTGTGTGGCTCCTGTTTGTAGAACTTTTCGCACTGGAGACTTCCTTCTACTCCTAGCCTTCTCTGTGTATTTGTCAGGATAGGCTAGGTATATGCTGCAATAACAAACAACTCCATATCTCAATGGCTTAACATACAAGAGCTTATTTTTTAGCCCACTCTGAGAACAGCTGTCTTCATAGTGGTGACTGCTCCAATCTGATGGCTGTGTCGATTCAACACAAGGGTTTCATGTTTATTGTGACAGGGGACACACAGGGCTTTCATCGCCTCACCTCCAAAGTGCCATACATGTTATTAGTCAAAGGAGCTGGAAAATCTCCTGTATTCAGGGCTGGCTTCATGAGTCTGTATTTTGTGCAGTCACATGGGACCCGTGCTCAGAAGTTTAATGCTCCACTGTCACTATCTTGAAATTCTTAATTTTTGAAAAGGGGACCCCTCTCCCCACATTTTCATTTTGCACTGAGCCCCAAAAGTTAGGTAGTCAGTCAGGCTGGTATTTCTAGGAAAGAAAGGGAAGCATATCAGGGGCTAGGGCTGCCCAGGAAACCCTACCTGTCCTGGATCCTATGAACTTCTCTCATGTTTTAGGAATCTCTCGCATCACATACCCAACTCCAGGAGCTATTCACTCCTCTGCTGTGTTATTTCTGAGGAACATTCATCTTGTGCGACAATGTAACATCATCATCAAAATAAGTCCTCATACAACCTATGCATTTCTTAAATCTGATGCTTCAGTGTCCAGAAAAATAAATTTCTCCCTTATTTTATCACTACTATGATTTGGTTGTATTGGCTTAATTCAACTAGCACACATCCAGTTTTCTGTTAGCTCAGCCCGATAACAATTCTAGGAGAACATCCACAAATAGCATTTTAAAGCAAAAGCAAGATTTTCATTGTGAACTTCAGATCCTAAATGCATGCTCTGAGCAGAGTGTGAATGTCCTGGCCCGGGCTGGCTTTGCTACTTATGGATAGCATCTGCCACCAGTTCCTTCCCTGATGGAGCTCTTGAGCATGGTTGGTAGCTCTGTGACTGCTGATAATTCTGGAAATGTGGTATTTCTTAACCACAAGGGCAGTTTGTTGCTTCTGGCTGTAGAATAGGACTGAAGGTATTTCAGTGTTTCAAAGCTGCAGTGTCATTGGGTTCTTTGGTACAGAAAGAAGTGTTTCCTTTATTTATTTATTTGTTAACAATGTCAGACTCAGCAGTGATGTGGTAGCTCCTAATGTCTTGTTCTAAAAGTAATAGTTTTGGGATTTTTTTTTTTTTTTTTTTTTTGTGCTCAATTTATGAAAGTTAAAGAATGAGGGGTAGGGGCAACTTGGAATGGTCTACAACCTTGTTATGAGCAAGAACAGTATGCACCAAGCCAAACCTACTGCCACCGAGTAGATTCCTACTCAGAGTAACCACATAAGATATGGTAGAACTGCCCCATAGGGTTTCCAAGACTGTAAATCTTCATGGTAGCAGACTGCCTCATCTTTCTCCCATGGATCAGCTGGTGGGTTTAAATGCTAACCTTTTTTTGGTTAGCAGCCCAATTTTCTAACTACAGCGCCTCCAGGGCTCCTTCCAGTACACACAGTTCATATTTGTAAGAACCCCATACAAAGTGCTTTCACCTCCATGAGTTCATTTGAATTGTAAAGTTCTCCTGTGACTCAGTGAAAGTCTTATCATCGCTACGATGCAGATGAGAAAATGGATTCAGGAGGAGAGCAGATCCAGCCTCAAACACAGATTTTTCAAGCAAGCCTTAAATTGATTCCAAATACCTCCTAGTGATGAAGCTCTAGTAGGGCAGGCTGTTTAGTTTGGTGTTACAGGCAAGCAGAACAAAGATTTCTTCTTCATTGTGTGGAATGAGGCAATCTTCTGTTCAAATGAATGCCAGGCACATTGCCAGGCCTGGGCTAGGTGTGTTTGAAACAAAACAAGACAAAAAGGAAGTGCATGTTTTTCTTTCTGAGACGCTGAGTTGCTCTTGCCTTGGTCCTAAATGATTCCATCCTCAGCAACCTAGAAACAATTGGTGGGGCCAAGGGTGGAAGATTCTGGTCCCCATCAGCCAAGCAACACTGTAATCTCTGCCAAAAGGGCCTAATTTTGAATATTGTACTTGGGATTAACTACATCTTAGATTCTGTAAGTGAAGGAACAGGGAGTACTTAGCCTTGAAAAAAGAAGAGTCAGGGAACTGTGAGAGCAGTATTCCAATATTGGAAAGGTTGTCATGGGAAAGAAGAAGCCAACTGTTCCAGATGACACAAGAAGGCAAAATCAGTACTGGTAGGTAAAGATCATGGTGCAAACAACTTCAGGATGATGTGAAGATTACAGTTGGGAAAGGAAGTAGATGGCCTCAAGAGGTGTGAGCTCTGTGGCATTAGAGGGTTTGAATGGATATTGAAAGGCAGTTTATGGAGAAAGTCAAGTATCAACTGACACTTACAAGCTCTTTCTCAGTCTCTGTCCTATGCTGTGGTCTGAACCACTTACTACTGCCACCTACACAGGACATCACACTGACACTCCTGTGAGACATAAATTTAGGAGGATATATCTGGGGTTGACGATTTCCCTGGGCCTGTAAGATCTTCCTGTGAGGCCATCAGACTTGTCTGCTCTGTACCTTGACAGCTGGCTTCTGATGAGAATAAGAGCCTAGAAAATAGATGAGCAACAAGGAGTCTTAACTTCTAAATGACTGACGAAGGTAAACTATTAACATATGTATTTTCTTAGAGGTCTTTTGAAAATTTTGAGCAAAGAACATGGGAGAAAGCCCCTAAACCCTAACACAGAGCTACCAACCTGACTGGGATATGGAGGAGAAAAGTAAAGAAACAGCAGAATTCTAAACACTTGAGAGCATCCCCTGTATGTTTACCCCAAGGTACTCACCTCCAACCTGCAAAGAAGCAGCCTGACTCCAGACTCCCATTCCTCAGTATGATCTGAGTAGAGAAATGAGTCGATGCCATCTCTAACCTTATGTGTGTGCAGAAGTGTGCAGGTGCACACTTGCAGATGTGATGACTGGAAAGTGAGATTATTTATTCAGAGCCTTGTATGTAGTTTATGCTATAATAAATTATTCTGTACAAAGGAGGCAAGTACAATCTATACTTCTGTTTGTCTAAAATCAATCTCTCTTTCTGAATCTTTCATTCTGCTTAATAAAATGAGAATCCAAGCAATATCTTTACAAAGTCCCAGACATTTCCTAACACCCAGACATTATTATTCTTGATTTACACACAAAGTGTTACTGTTTACAAAATGTTTTCATATTTGTTCTCTCCTTTAACTCTTGAGACAATCTCAGGAGGAAGGCAGGGAATTATTGTCATTCTTTTGATAAGTACCTGAGACTCTAAGAGGCTCAGTATCTTGTCCAATGACACATGGCTGGTGAGCAGAGGAACCGGATTCAGATGCAGATTGTCTTCAGTCTCACTGTCCCATGCTGGTTCCCCCTACAAGAAAAATTTGTGACATTGAAAAGGAAAAAACACAAGCAAGGCAGCTCAATACATTTGCAATCACGAAGATAAATTCTGTCCAGAAAGAGTCTTTAGTTTCTCATGGAAGTTCTCTTGAACCTGACCATCCATCACAGAAAAGGTCAAACTCCCACAGCTAGGAGCGTAAAAGCATAAAACCAGAGGCCTATGAGTCTTCCTCATGTAATCAGACAAAGCTCTGGTTTCTGATGTCAGGCTCCATAAGCAGAAAGTTACTACTCTGCTTGAATTCTGTATAGCCCTTGTTTCTGTATAGATTTTCAGGGTCATGAGGATGCTCTATCAGCCTTGCCTTGTGCTCACTTCTTTATGCATAAAAAGTTGAAAAGTACTTTCACAAGCATTCTGTCTGCCCTTTGTTTCCCATTGTTGTTAGTTGCCAGTAAGTCAGCTCTGACCTATGATGACCCCATGTACAACAGAGCGAAACATTGCCTGGTCTTGTGCAATTTTTATCATCATTGGTATACTCAAATCCATTATTGTGGCTACCATGCGTTTTGAGTGCCTTCCAACCTCAGGGGCTCATCTGCCAGAACTGTATTATACAATAAGGAGCTCTGATGTTGTAGTGGTTAAGGCATTTGGCTGCTAACCAAAAGGTCAGTGGTTTGAACCCACCAGCTGCTCCATGGAAGAAAGATTCTGTAAAGATTTACAGCCTTGGAAACCCAATGGGGGCCACTATGAGTTGGAGTTAACTTGATGGCAGTGAGTTTTTTTTTTTTTTTTTAATATATTTAAATATTTTTAAATGTATTTTTAAAATATCATACAATGTTCTGTGGTGATCTGTAGGTTTTCCACCAGCTAATTTTTAAGAATTAGATACCCAGGACTTTCTTCCTAGTCTATTTCAGTCTGGATGTGCATCAAAAACATGTCCACCATGGGTGACCCTGCTGGTATTTGAAATACCAGTAACATAGCTTCCAACCTCATAGCAAAATGCAAGCTACCACAATATGACAAATTGTCAGATGGGTGATGTTAGTTCCTGTTAGACTTGTTAAAATGAACCAGGGACTTG